GAAACCTATACTTGGACCAAGAGGCAGTAGTCAGAACAGAGCAGGGTAACACTGCATGGTTCAAAATAGGGAAGGGTGTACGCCAGGGATGGATATAATAGTAAAAAAAAAAAAGTTCCTGGTCTCATAAATCTATATTCTAATATATATTTAAAATATCAGATGGTAATAGGGGTGTGGTGAAATGGAAGAGGGCGAGAGAAAGTAGGTGGTGACAGACAGAGAGGTGCTTCAAAAAGCAAGTAATTGACAGCTTTCTTAGAAAAGTCAAGAGAGCAAAGATATTGGCACAGTGGGCTAAATGTTGGGCTGAAAACCCAAAGGTTGGCATTTTGAACCCTCTGACCTTCCTGAGGGAGAATAATGAGGTGGTGTGCTCTCAGAAAGCCCTAACAACCTTGGGGACCCTACGGGTTAATTCTGTCCTGTCCTCCAGGATCCCTGTGGATCAGGACAGATCTACAATGTCAGTGTCAACTCACACTTATTTTGCTTGGGGATTTAGAGGGGCAGGAAAAGACCATTTATCACAATTAATCTTCTGGAGTCAAATACCATGTTTAGTACACACATGGAACTTGACAGATCCATGAATGGATGATTGTAGCCTGAAAATTATAACTGAATGAATTTATTACTAGGCTATCTAGTTCTCTGAGACCCAAACAGCATTCTAGAAGTTGTATGCACTAATTAAATTTTTACAGGACGGTAAAAAATGGAAGAAGAGTTCCAGAATGAACATGGCATCAAGAGTGACTTTGGTCTCCTTATAATAACATCACTGAATTTTGATTAACAGGACAGTTCAGATGTGTTAGATGCTGGTTTAGCTTGGTCCAGCTCAAAAGAACCGATAGTTAAGCTTTTAGGAATTTTGCTAGTTAATGGTGACACATCAGTTGTTAAAAATGTAATACATTTGCAATTAAAATGGTAATTCATTGTTTAAAAAGCACTTTTCATTATTACTTTGAATCCCTAGGTAGTTCAAGAAGATAATATACTTAGCTGTTAATGAAACTGCTGTTTAAGTCTACCACAGGTGCCTCGGAAGAATGACTGGTGGTGACCAGCCTTTGAAAACCCTGTTCCCTTAGCTCTGAAATGCATGGAGTTCAGATGTGTCATGATGTTGACTGGTTGTTTCTTTGTTTTTTTAAGTGTTGTTGTTACGTGCTGTTGAGTCACGTGTGACTCACAGCGACCCCTTATACAATAGCCCCGAAACCTGCTCTATCCTGTGCCAACTTTACTATCTCTGACACCCTAAACCTTATTACCCTAGTCACAGAATCAATCCATCTCATTGATGGTCTTCCTCCCTTTCTCCATCCTTTCACCCTTCCAAGAATTATGTCCATCTCCAAAGACTGGTCTCTCTTTGCAACATGCCCAGAGTATGTCAGATTAAGCTTCAGAATCCTTGCCTCCAAGGAGCAGCCTGATTTCACCCTCTCTAGGATGAATTTGTTTGTTCTCCTGGCAGTCCATGGTATATTCAACCCTCTTCTCCAGCACCACAGCTCAAAGGCATCAATTCTCCTTCTATCATCCCTAGTCATTGTCCAGCTCTTTGATGCATATCAAACAATTACAAAGGTTATGGCCTGGATCAGGCGCACTTTAGTCTCCAGACTGACATCGTTACTTTTCAGTACTCTGGAGAGGTCTCTGACAGCAGCCTTTTCCAATGCAATTCATCCTTTGATTTCCTGGCTGCTGCTACCAAGAGTGTTGATTGTGGAGCCATGCAAACTAAAGCTGTTAACAATCCCAATCTCTTCACCATCTGTTGTAATGCTGCCAATTGGCCCAGTGGTGAGAATCTTTCTTTTCTTGATGTTGAGCTTCAATCCATATTGAAGGCTGAGGTCCCTGACCTTCTGCAATAAGCGTTTCAGAGCCTCCTCAGTTTCAGCAAGCAGGGTTGTGTCATCTGCATAAGGCAGACTGTTGAAGAGTCTTCCTCCCATCCTGATGCTATATTCCTTCTCATACAGCCCAACCTCCTGGGTGATCTGTTTTTCTGATATTTTTCAAGTACTATTGTATGTATTATTTATGAACTATGTCTTGGAGGAAGTACCAGCAAGGTGCTCTTTGGAGGCGAGGGTGGTGAGACTTCATCTCACATACTTTGGGCATGTTGTCAGAAGGGGCCAGACCTTAGAAAAAGACATCATCTTGGGAAAAGTGGAGGGTCAGAAAAAGAGAGGACTATCCTTAAGACAATGGGTTGCCACGGTGACTATAACAGTGAATCTGATGTTGGCACAGGACAGGGCCAGGTTTCAATCTCCTGTTGATACATGAATCAGGGTCCAGTCCCCAGCACCTCACAGCAGCATGAGCTTTGCTCTTGATTTACTTATGGCCGTTGTATCTATGTGGTGGAAATACCATGGAATGGTCTAACACTGCCTGTCCCTGCCGACTCCACACCCAGTAACATCCAGCAGCTCCAAGCCATGGTGGAAATATTTATACCATGGAATTTGATAAAGTGTGATCATCCGGGCCTTTTTTATTGTGTGTGTTGGGGAGTGCCAGTTGTTGAATCTCTAGCAGACCTCACACTTGGGAATCAGATCGACCTTCTGCATGGCCGTGCCTCAGTCACTCACAAAGTTCAGTTCATTTCTGTGACTGATGGCATGACCTGAGCTAATGGCATCAGCCACTCGACTCGGCCCTAGTTCTGCCGGCAGTACTGATGCTCTGAGTGCGGTAATGAAGTAGACTGGGGAAGTGCGAGCCCTGAATTGTCCAGCCTCCTCCTCAAAGGACAGCAGCTTCATCAAGCGGCTGAATGAATTACTTTGTGGATTGAAGTCACCACAAGGTCTGTTAGTGTCTACAAAATCTAACAGGCCGGTTTGCAATTGAACAGAGCAGTTTGTTAAATGCTTCCCTTCATGGCCTCAGATAGCTAATGAAGTTCACAGGTGTCCAGTTTGTTCAGTAATGATCTTGGATTGCTTGGGTTTATCTTGGATAAAGATTTATTGCTTGGATTATCTTGGATTGGTTGATTTTCCTGATTAATGTGACTTCTGCTTTAACTACATATTCTTTAAATACATATTTTAAACAGTTTATATGTTTATGTTTTTAAGCAGTTTGTATATCTGTGTGCTACATGTATTCCTTAGTAATCGGGAATGCAGAATATGTCTTTGTTTTTAAATACTTTTTCAAAAATGTCATGCTATCATAGCAACCAGTGGTTTTGCTGTTAATGAATAAATGATGGTTAGCCTAGTAAAAATTCCCACTGACTCAACACTTCTGGCCAGTGTTTCATTTTTTCCAGAAGATTTTTTTCCCCCTTATGAAAGGGAGGGAGGGTGAGAAGAAAGGAAATTTCACATCTTCACTTACATCCAACCAAGTGAAAGTTAATGGTGGGACTCCTTCACATTCATAAGGTCGCAGAAGTGAAACAGAGGTGGGTTTGTTACACTCCCCTGAAGTTGGATGTTTAGACAGAGCTAACTCTTGAAGTCATTAAATACCACTTCAAGCATGTGAGTGCTTTATTTTGTGATCATTTCTCCTTTTGTCTTTTATTTTGACAGTCTGAAGTTAAAACCAAAGTACTGCGATTGGAAGAGCTCCATTCTAAAGTCAGTGATCTCAAAGAATTAACGAAAAACCCAGAAACACCACCAGACCTCCAGGTAAGCACTCATCAGCTTTTAATATCTATTTTGTTTCTGAAATGATTTACTAAATTCTACGGAAGGAACCTTGGAAGCAGGAGTGGCATCCATTTGCTAAACAACTTGCCTCCAGAAACTCTAAGAACTTTGATAGGTGTAGAAAGGCTTCAGTCCTTTTGTTCATAGGGTCACTGTGAGTCGTGCTCGACTGGAAGGCAGTCAACAACAACAACAGGGAAGGAACCATGGTGGTACAGTGTGGAATGCATCAGGCTGTCAATCAAAAGGGTGGGGAAAGATGGGGGTTCTCCTTGGTAAAGGTTTACAGCCTTAGAAATCCAATAGAGGTTTGGCATGAATTGAAATTGAGTCAATGGCAAAGAACTTTAAGGGGGTAAATAGGTAGATCCACATAGAAACACAGGTGAGGTCATCAGGAGTCAGGATCAACAGGAGTTTTTGTTTGTTTATATACTTTTTTATCAATTAATTATTTTTCATTGCAA